ATTGCCGAGAACCGATAACTGCGTTTTACCCAGAAGTAAAGCGCTTGTAAAAAGTGTGCAAAATATTTTAGTTTTAATTTCCACAGGGTTGAGCTACAAAGATTTTAAAGCTTTTTTACTCTTGGAATAGAATAGTCAACTTTTTTGTACAGATAACCCATCCGCTTTACTGCTAGATTGTAAAGCATCGGTTAATCGAAACTTGAAACTCTAAAAGAAGTCGCTTTGAGCTTGTCAAAAGTAATATTGTAGATTAATTGTTTTTATCTACAAAGAAAAACAATACGTGCCCCTATGAGGACTGTGCCGACTGTGTTATGGTGAACGTTGCGACAGACTGCGAGAGAATCTGGACAAATGCACTTATTAAATTTAAAAAAAAAAAACAATATCATATTTAGCTAATCTCTTGAAGTGGGGGTTAATTTTTTGTTCAATATAAAAAACTGCAAAGTTTCCTACTTTTCACGAAAGTTAAAAAACATCAGAAAATCCCAGATCACTCCTGGCTATAAACGCTAAAAGTAATTAAAGGGTTTATTTGAGAAAAAAAAACAGTTTCATTGGGACCATAAAGTACGAGTAAGTTTTTCTTGACCCCGTTATTTTTATCATTGTACAAATAGAGCAAATACAGGAACCCAGCATAGTTGGCTATTGTTTGAGTACTCTGAATCCCAGGGAATTGGTTCAAAATTTTCGAAGTTAAAAAATTGAAGAATGAGCTGCTTATTTTTGTGACCTAATACTCAAATATTTGACTGCTTTTATTAGGGAGGACATATGAATTAGCCTCGTTTGATCGCAAGAAGTGATTTATGAATTCACAGGGCTGGTCTTTAAACAGATTTCCTTAAATCTTCCCACTAAAGTACAAAATTTTTCCTAGTATATTGCTCTCCGAGTGATTATACTGTTAACAGACGCTTTAAAGTAAAATCAGGAGGAGGTTATTCTCAAGAACAGATCAAAATTCCCGCTACCGGCGTCAGATTAGGTGATGACTTCTGGCTTAAATTTAAAACTCTTTATTAAATTGTTTTTATAAAACATCTCTCAGATGCCTTTGGCTTTAATGAGCGCATGACGGTGACTTCCCGCAGGCGATTCTACCGTTCAACCCCAAATCACTCTGATTCCTCAAACTTCCCACAAAAAAAAAACGTCTTCAAAAATGCGCATTTTGAGTGAGTAACCATATGAAACTGGAAATGCTGATAAATTTATGTTACTAATTAGAATGTGTCCTACTTTTCGCAAAAAAAATTGCTAAATTTAAGTCGTGGACACGAACAGAACTATTTTGCAATCATTCCCATTATTTTCCCAGAAGTTTTTATTCAAGAACGCTTGCCATGGCCACTCATTAAGATGGACTGCAAGTTTATGTGGAGTTACGGTGGCCTGCAGTTGTAAAGGTGCTTCGTGTACACTGAATCAAAAATTCGGAGTCAAACAAGGGATGCATGATAAACTGTCATTTTGATTTATTAATTTCCTGGCTATAGCAGCGCATCTAACCACCAAAGGTGGGTCCCTTCCCCTCATGTGCATTAACCAGCTTTTTTGCTCCCAATTTCATCAAAAAAAATGTTTACTATGCCTTAAATAATTCCCTTTTTCCGATTGAAGTATGGTGCTTAGTGAGAGAAGACCAACTACCGGTTTGGCCAGTCAAAGTGTGACACTCATAGCTCATTGTTTATATTTCCATTTAAGGCAATGAATTCAAATAATCACGGGGATGTTAATTTTAATAAATGCAAAGGATCTCCTCATCCCTTTCTGGCTGAAGAGTGGCGCCTTGTAAAAGCCCTTTGATTGACCACCTCTGCCTCGGATGCAGGCATGTGACTGTCTAGACGCCCGAGTAGTTGTCAATGGGTGTTCCTGGTTGAGCGAAGGGCCTTGAAAGTGGTCCATTAGTGTATCACCTTTATCAGCAGGCATTGGTAATATGAGAAACGTTAGGGAGGCACAAAATGTGGAGAGGACCGTTTTTAGTTGCCGAAGCCTCTTCCGTCAACGTCAAATGGTTTAGCTGAGCTGGAGTTGGCGTCTCCTCTCTGATCCAAACGATTAATGAGTAAGTTTTTTTCCACCTCACATAAAATAATTTTTAATTTTTCCATCAAAATCTCTTGTTCTTACCTTCAAAAAAATTCTATTAAAACAAATGATACCGGCGTCACATATATGTGACGCGCAACCATTCTCATGCTCCGCTAAGTGTTTGGAGCTAATCATGCGTTACAAACCTAATACTTGAGTTTAAAACAATAAAAATGTGTGTGAGATGTTGTATGCCTGATAGTAGTTCCATTTGTCTAAGTTTTGACCAGGTACCGAGTTCATGGGCTACTTTAAAACAATGGTGTGGATGACTTTCCACCAAAACCTCTATAAATATCAACTAATAAACCTTCTTACTTTCCCTACAAAAATTTGCAGTGCCTGTAAGCTCATCAAACTGCCTGCTTGAAAGAAGGGATTTACATGGAGGCCTACTCGACCTATAAGCCCGGAATAGGCCACAAAACAACCCTCCTGGGTTGTTTTGTTCGAGCTCTCTAGATTAAATATCCTATGGATTATGGTAGAGATGCGAAAATTGGTAAACACTCCTTAGGTCTAAATTTGAAAGAAATTGAAAACAATTTGTCTTGTTAACCACTTGGGTCTTTCCAACTACCTCAATTAGATAGTTTGCGTCACCCATGAATTCATTTCTTCTGTCGCTAAAAATCTCTTCAAACGCTATTTTGGGTGCTGTCAGTCATTCCTGTTTGACGGGTTGTAAAACCCTAAGGCTTCGATTACTACCCACTCGTTGCAATAGTCTTGTATCTGTGGAAAGCATTACCCAGCTGCCACTACTACTAACAACTTCCAACCACCCAATGAGGAAATATGTTTTCTTCAAGTAGCCTATCTTAGCATATTTCTGTGTGTATTTTAAGAATTGACAGTTATGGGGCAAGATGTGAAAACGAGCGGTCAACATAGTGACAAACATGTTTTGTGGCTGAGTAAATAGCGCCTTTATGGCCTACATACCCTCGTTCGTCCGCTGTAATGCTCGATTCGGCGAGTGTTTACGCAGTCAATACCGGATATTGTGAGAACCATCGTCATATGTGGAGGCGATGCCATTTCTGAAAACACGATTCAGTAAAAAATAATAACAAATTATTATTAAAAAATTATTAAATCATGTTACTTAAACAGAAAGTTGGGTTTACTTTGAACTGTACTTCGGTGATACTGCTTTGGTAGTGTCACATATATGTGACACCCCGATTTTCTCACCTGATCTTTACACCAAATGCGTAGAGCGCATTTCAGATCAACCTGTGCAGATTATTCATATTCAATGGATTATTGCCATGAGCTACAAAACAGGGCCAGACTAGTCACCATCAAAACCAAACCGTGGGTTGTAAACAAGGAGAAGTGAGTGCTCCTGGTAGGAGAACACTTAATGTCTCCCAGTTTTAAATTACACATCTTTGTATAGAATAGTAAAACATCTTAAAACTGTGATAGTCGAATTAGAGCTTAAATTCTGACAGCAATGTACTAACTTTGGAGAATTTGGTTAGCAAAATTGCCCTGGAAACTAATGGAGACTACCAATTAGAGGCATTAATCTTAACAAATCAACGCGTTCGCTCTTAAGCCACTCTCTGGTAAGATAAATTGAACAATCGGCAATTATTTATTCCTTTTCAGAATAATTTTACCTTATTAATTAACCAGCAAGTGATGAGATTACAAAAAGCCACCATGCTTTCCTCGCACGAAAAAACACACCGGTGCCTGTTTTTCTCCCTGATTCTCGCCATTATGGTCTTATTTTAATTCGGTTCTCGTATTAGAGGTATCAAGATAAATAAGCGATGCCAGAAACTGGAAATGAATGAGTGCATTGTGGCTAATTCCCAAGTTAATGCAAAAATTGGATGGGACACATCCTTCATTGTGTGTTCAAAAGTGCGCAATGATGGTTCGAGTTTGATTTCCTTCAGGTAGGTGTACTTTCAGGTCTGCCAATTGTGTACCGAGCTGTCATTCTCCGGTTCGACAGTTTCCGCGGGTTCAATAATTCTCTTGGTAGCTTTGCTATTCATCAGTTCTCTGTGCTCTAATGAGAAAGTAGCTGCTTTACCTCGCCTTCAGAAATGACCCTTTGTACTGATTTTATTGAAAAAAATTGGTTTGATTTGACAGTGGCAGTATGTCAAGTAGTACTACAGGAGTGCAAAAATACCAAGGTTTCTTCCCTACTTTTAAGAGTACCTTGTTTACAATTCCAACACAAAAAGAAGTATGTAGTCCAAACATCCATCTTCCAACCACCTAATATGCTTTTACATAAAAGGACACTCAACCACTTTTAAGCTTATTCTCTGGGGAAAAAAAAGATTTAAAGCATACTGCCGAATATTAGTACCCTTTGAAAAAATAAGATTATATTAAGTGGATAAAGCAGAATATAAAAGATAAACATGAAGTATTTGCCAGAGGTGCTCAGAGAAGTACAAAATATTCTTAGTAGAAAAGATATTTCTACTGTTTCTTTAAGTACACCGAAGCTTTTGCAGTTCATGTTTGTTTGACCCCACCTCTTCAGGTCGCAAGCAGGCGGAGTGGACGAACCTCGAGACGGGGAAGCCGTCACAGATCGCCCGAGGGGGAGGAGGATGAGGAGGAGATTAACTTTGATTTTTCTCATTAAAGCCTTGACAGTTTGTATACTCTTTCGTTGGCACAATGTCATCACGTCTCCCTCTGGCCAGTCCCCTAGGTTCAGAAGCCTGGAACCGGTGATGGAGGGCTAAAATAAAGAGGTTATTGTATTTTGAGGAAAGAATTCACATAGGGCATTCATATCAATGGAAACTGAGCTTCTTGAATTGCAATAATTATCTATAAACAGAAAAATTTTCCAAATTTAGTCAGTTTTAAAAAATTCCGCGTATGTCAAGGAAAGATGAAAATTCTAAAATTGCTTCAAGAGGAAATTAGTCTAATGTGTACTGGTTTAATCCCGACAAATCTTTTTTGTATGGACATCTCCATGAGCATGTTTTAAAGTCTGATTTCTGTCACATTTTCTTGTCTCTAAGCGCAATACATAAAATAAACCTGTGAAGCCCTTTCAACAATCCATCCCCGATGCCTTATGACCACACTATTTCCTGCAATTCGTCACCCAAATTAACAATATACTCTGCAAAGAATTTGCAGTAAATTGACTGCAAATTTGTGTGCACAAAGTGTGACGCTCCCCGCAATGTGTCCTTCGTCTCAAACACCATTTTAGTGTGGTCATTCACAGTTATTAGGGATTGTCATGGTGTGCATATCACCGTGTGTCTAAGGGGCAGTTTAAAAATGCACATTTGGCCGATGTGCAAAGTTACCTGTGTGCGAAAAAGTCAAACACTAAGTTGCGATGCTGATTGTGGTGGGTTGGCTCTTTGTTCAATCACGAGCCACCCCGGGTCGTGGTTTTACACCATGGTAATGCTAGCAGCCGGTCAGTCCTTCTGTACGTTGGTAGCGCGTATTCGACGTACCACCACCTCAGAGGAGGCAACAGAATTTGTAAACAGGCGCAGCCTTTCGAAGTTTGGGCGGAAAATTTGGTTTTTTTTTTCGCTACTCATTCATGTAGTCAACATTGACCACCTGATGCCCCCACCTCCTCCGAACGATGGTTTATTTGCTTCACATTCAGGGAGATTTTCAATGTTAAATTTTTATTTTTTATGAAGTAAACTCAAGCAATACTGAGGAAAAGGGTCAAAAAAGGTTGCGATTGTTGACTTTGTGCTGTGTTTTGGATCTCATCACAGCGATTGCACTGCGGAAATGTGTAGTTTTGGAGAGAATAACAAAATGCTTATTTTTCTCCCACAAAAACTAATCTTCTCATGGAAGTAAAGTACTTTTTGATTTCTTTAGTTTAAGTCCTTTGGACATTTTATAATTCCACAATAGTTAAATAAATACATTCTATTAACATGATCAATTTTCATTTCATGTGAGTTCCGACGAAAATCTCTCCTCTTTTAAGTTATGCCATTTAAATTGTAGATTTGCTTTTATTTTTTGAGTTAAGACGTTAATTTAAAATTGCCAACTGGCCACATTAACCAATAATAAGTTATTGAAACTTTAAAATTAGATTTTGACTATTGTTTCAAAAAATTTGGCGAATCTTTACGTTATTTCGGTGTTTATATTGCCTCGGATAAAACAGTGCCACCTCTGGCAGGCGATGAGACCGCTTTCATATGATGAGCAAGAATGTTAAATGGATTCAAGCCTTCCCCTACATTATTAAAAAATTGGAATGGAGGTCTATTGAAGAGTAAACCGTTCCTTGGATTAGTTGCCCAACAGAATGACGCTCCCTTAGAAGGCACGTTTAGCGAGCTTTTGTTCTTCTGTTTACTGCCAGTAAAATATTCGCCGACACTTCCTATGTCCCTGACCACGTCTGGAAGAGTAGCTCGAGGTGTTGCATCGAAGTGGGCTCAAACTCTCACATTCGATCGAGGACACCGAATCCGAGTGCCACAAAAGGGATTTGTGCTGTGGATGACTGGCTTGGCTACTAGTTAAAAAGAAAGAGCTGTTGGAGTCACGTCACCTTTTGACACTCCCTTCAATCTCGTGTCATAGCCTCCAGGCTGGCATTCGAGCAACGCCAAAGTGTAAAAGAATTGAGAGTAGTAGCAGATACTGACCTTCACACTATTTAGGCAAATGTGGCATATAACAGTTACACTTGCAGACGCATGTGTGAAAGACAAAAAGGAGGAAGCGGTAGAGGAGGAGATGGTGCGGAGAAGTGAGTGTTAGCACCAGCTAATGGGCAGATGCGTGAATGGAGGAATGCGTAAACAGTGGATGGGTGAACAGAACGATGCAGGGATAGAGGGCTGGTGGTGTGGCGGGGGGTGGGCTGATGGGGGAATGAAGGCGAGGAAGTTGGTGAGGTATAGCAAGGATGGGTAGGTAGTAGGAAAAATAAAGTAAAAAATGCGGTATGGAGGGTAGAGGTTTACAGAATCCGTAAAAAAAGGAAGTTAACCTCCATACCACGTAGGGAGCACCAGTTCTCGTCTGATTACCAAAGCTAAGCTACGCCGGGCCGGGTTAATACTTACACGGGTGCCCGGCTGGAAGTGCTCGGTGTTGCCGGCCTCCTCCTCTACACCGCTACACTTCATCAGCGTCTCATTTCGCTACACCCACGACGCTCCACTCTACTTCTCGCCTCTTTGTATCACTCACTCAAAGCAAAGTTAGCTAATGGTCTACCGGATAACTTTCCCTCTTGATAAATTTCACTTCTTATGGGGGCGTAGTTCAGCCCTAAGGGGCAAAAAGTCAGTAGATCCTCGCAATGCGGCTCACAAAAAAGACGTGACTTTGGATCTACCTAAAATGACGGTAAGCATCACCGACTTTGAGATCAACCATTTTCTCAAATCAGATAAGTGACGAATGGTAGTAATTCCTGACTGCTTAGTGGGGAGGATTGGCCACAGGGGGGGCAGAGGCTGTCGCCTGGAGGGGGACGCCGCTCCCACGTCCACTTAGCCATTCTGTAAACTCATGGCAGTCTTCCCATTTTCCATCATTTTTTAGATTGCTCCGTAAATTACTTGACAAAAAGAAATAATATAATGTAAATTAGGAAGTAAAAATTCTCCACATTTTGGAAATCCATTGTGCTGAGGTGATTTTTTGCTTTATTGTGCCTCTAACTCCGTGCCGTACTAGTGGGCCTTAGTGAGATTCCAAAGGAGACTAGGTCCGTCACACTTTGTTGCGGCAGATTAGGATTTTAACTAAAGAAAGATACTGCCTGATTGGCTATTTTGATGAAGACAAATGACAAAGCAGGCAGAAATTGTGTTTTTGCGTCGCTACAAAATATAAAACTGACCAAATGTGCACTTAAACAAACGGCAAGTATTATACTAAACTTTCTGATTTTTTCTACCTTTAAAATACAACGAAATGTCTACCTCACATTTGGCTCAAGAGTAAGGGTTGGAGCACATGAACTTTTAGCTTTTTAATTCGTTATGTCACTTGTTTGGGTTAATTTCATGCAAGACCACTTCTTATCCAGTGGTACTACGCACACGTCCTCTTAACTCGTGAGAACGCTACCACTAAGCACAACACATTAAAAGAGTCACTTATGCAACAAAGACATCGGTACACAATCATCCCACGCTGCGCTACTTTGAGAAGTTCATACAAGATTGACCACTTTGGTCTTCGGAAGCCGTAAAACAGGGCCCAGCCACATCCTTTTCCAACTCTGTATCCGAATTGTCCAGTCTGCAACGTACGTGATTACATGATTGCCTGACTTGAGTTCCGGAAAAAGGTGACAACCGTTTTAAGAGGCGATCCCAGGAATGAGAGTGCCTTAAAACATTTAAAAAATTGTAAAAGCGATTTCCTAATACAAGTCACTCATTCAGTCAGAAAACAACCTACAACGGAAGGTGGAGAAAGGAGAAGTAAATAGATTGTCCCTCAAGCATATCAGCACCTTGCATGTATGTAAGACCTGGTTGCTTGGCACTTTGAAGTCTTCTGTTACTATGGACTTAAACAGCAATTAAACAATACTAAAAGCCCTCCACCCTCTTTAGCAAACGGTGGCACGTCCTTCTCCATTCTAATAAGCGACACGTAGTTCTCCTAAACCCGATGCATTTGCCTTAGAGAAATCCATCAAATCCCCGGGAGCTGATTATACTTTAGTGGAGCTAAAACAGCCCCCTCAGAAGGGGCTAATTAAGGCCTCTCAAATCAGCCAGAATGGGTGATTGCAAAGGTCACCGCCTTTGTTGACGAGACTACGCAGTTGTCACCCCCACCCACCACGGCAGTAACAAATTATACAGCACAAATAGAGGCTTGTTTTGGTGTACATCTTTGGTAAATACAAGTAATCTCATTTTGGTTGAACGCTTTTCGGATTCAGAATATCCCCTTTTCGAGAGGTAACAATAAATAATGAAAGAGATCTGACTTAAAGAACACAAGAATACCCCTTTCTGTTTCCCTTAAGCTCTTGTCTGAGCAACCATGGGTGGTGCTGTATACGCTCTTATCACAAACTTGTTTGGTTGCGGCATCCAGTTATGCCTTAGATCGCCATTCCTTTCCCTTAATTAAGCACGTCCCCCTTCCCCAAGTAACGAACAGTGGGCGCGTTTTTGCATGCATTCTATTCTTCGCTTCAGTGGAGAACGCACTTGGCACATCGAAGAGTTGGAATCTTTCACCCTTTTCCAACATCGCACATACAACTTGGCGTGCCTTTTTAATTTGTGTGTGTTGTATGTTTGCGCATGTTTTTTGATGTGTGAACGGGAACTGTGTCGAGTACACGGTTGTGATAATGTGACAGACACGAGTACCTACTCGTCTGACTCTTGTGCCTCAAAGAGTTCGTACCTTTACACAAATAGCCAGTAATTTACTTGTTAAAATTTTAGTTGAAATTTGGCAAAATTTGTGGACCTGTTTTAAACGCTGACAATTAAGCATCTTGTAACATAATTGGTAGGCACTGATTTAATCAGTACCTGTGGAATTTAATTATTTAATAAGTTTCAAACATTCACGGATTTATTAAAAATACAAATTATGCATTAATGTTTAATAGATATTTACCATTCCGTTTTGGTTTACTTATACGTATTTACTAATAGTGTAAAACGAAATACACATTATTAAGAGAAAAACCGTAATAGTAGGCGTTATGGATCTAATATTAACATCACGGGTGGTTATGCTATTATATTACTGTATCACCAGGAATATTCATTTGGCCAACTTTTTATTTATAAATTAAGGATGCATTTTGGCGTCACGTACGTTAAAAAAGGAGGTGACATATTTTTAAGTTCGTAAAAATGCTGTCAAAGTTAAATACTCTATAGATTTGAAAAAAATTAGCAGAATAAAAGGCATATTTCCCTATAGAGATGTAGGATTTTCTTCTCAAAGCACATTGTAACAATTAAAAACTACTACTTAAATAAATACAGTAAAACTAATTGTGCGAGAATGTAGTGTTGTAATTTGTACTTCCAATAATGAGAGCGTTAAAAATGTATGCAGTTCTTATTTTAAAAGTAGTTGCTTCTCAAAGAAGGCTATTAATCAACTTTAGTGAGATGATTTTATGTCAGGCTTAAAATCGAAACAATGGACAGACTTTTAGAGCCGCATTTATTCCTAACTTTTGACAGGTTCATATTTTGCAGTCAAGCTTAAACATTAAAGCATTTTTAAGGAGTTATTAATTTTATGTCAAAAGGAATGAAAAATAATAAGTCAACTGCCTTATGGTTGTGAGGCAATGTGCTTCTTAGACAAGGCACCAGCACCACCCAAAACACTGCCTTGCCATAATTTTACACGTCATTGTTGCTTATTCAGCTAAACCTATGCACACTAATTTGTACAATTTTGATCTTAAGTTATTGCCCATCTCTCGGAAAATTTACGCTTTACCGTCTCTTTGGGCTAAAAAATTGTCCAATGTTTGGATCATGAAACAACAGACTTGGTTTCTTGTAAACTACAAGGTTGTATCTAAAGATTTAGTACAAATAATTTATCTGAAGTATTTTGGTTACTTTAATATAAGAGGAAAATAAAAGTAAATGCACATATATTTATGTAAATTGCCAAATAATTACCAAAACTCAAATCGCTTTATTTTTGGGTAAATAAAGGCAAATTTAGAGCAGAACTATAACCTAAAGAAGGGCATGGCTTTCACAGAGCCCTTTTTGTTAGTGGAGATCTTCCAATCCACGGTTAGCTACCTGTAGAGGTTTCGTTGGTTTAACTAATCTTCAGTGACTACTTTCTGTCCCGCCGCAGCGGTATTCCAGTTTCGTGGAAGCGGTGCAGCGAAAATTTGAAGAAAGTGGCGAAAATTGCGCTGTACTTTATTTTTTATTGTCACGTGAAGAAAAGTACTAATTGGGGCACATTGCTGGGTTTATTCATCCGTACTTTTTCCAGCCTGCATTGCGATTTTCAGTCACGGGTGTGGTCCTCCTTCTTTTTGAATCGAAAATGCCACTGGTTGGCATGCAGGAAGGTTGAAGAGGTGCACACGACTTTTGGCCTTCTGTATGGTTGATAAAAAAATATGCGAAATTTGTCTTTTAATTTTAGTTTATTTTGTGACCTCTTTAAGAAAAATTTGTGATTGTTTATTAAAGGCAGAAAAAGTTTCCTCTGCTTATAAAATGCATATATTCCAATTTTACAACCAAGAAGTCAGGTCTGTTGTGGTTGAAGCAGAAAACAATGAATTCCACATCGAAAATGATAATTTGGTTGTATCGACGTTGATGAATACCAAAGAGGATGCATTGAAATGATATATTAAGTGCCTGTTGAAATAATGGGTTTGTATTCAGGAGGCAGGTTGATGTCGCAGGATCAACTATAGTAGGAATTTTGAGCATTGGTGTTGATGGAATATGTACTTGGGTTGCTTCAATAAAAATCTCCATTGGCTGCTCCTTTTATTTCGCCCACTTTGTTAGTCGCACATTATAATTACTGCACCCGGCCGCATGATCCTCTTGCTGATCTGGCCACCTGCGGGTTGTAACATGCATGTTTTGGTAAACAAATTTAAAATAGATTTTCAGCCTGATACCTTCTACCCTCATTCAGTTTTTAGAATTTGAGCAACTGTCCACTTCTTACTTAATCAACTAAATGAAATACATTTTTTGCCTTTGTTACACGCCTAACTGCTGTCCACTTGCCTCTGTTCAGGTCAACGCATGTGGCTCCTATTGTTTTAACATTCATATCGACTAAATGAGCTTAAAATTATTCCATGAATTTCCTTTGAGTGCTTTCGACTCTTTTTGGCATTTTTTATGCAATTCTCACTCGGTTCAAGATGCGGAGTTGGATGCATGGCGGTGCTTTCGGACGACAAAACTGAAAGCTAAAAACTGCCCCGGAAAAGCAGTTATTTTGTTTATCTTCCGAAAAACATGACATAAAAACCTTTTTTCCTTAAAGCTTTATTTATAACATTACCAAGTTTTGACTGGTCTTTTTCTTAAATTTGGAAAATTCTACCACAAATTAGGCAAAGTAATTCAGAGTTATGCCAACTAGGGTAATTTTCTTGAAAGGATAACTTGGGACACTCTCTGAGGTTGGGGTATAAGCTAAAATATCTTCCAAAAACCATAATACTTTACTCAGGGATCATTTAGGTCCCTCCTCAAATCAACTGCACGAAAATAAAGAGGAAATATCACTCAGTATTGTTGGTGACATGATGATAAGCTCTGACAGTGAGATGACTGGCAGAATCATTGACTGCTGATGCACCACCTGCAACTCTTAACTACCCAATTTGACGTCGGCTAGAAAAAGACTTATTATCTTTTGACCAAAAGCACCTTGCATCCATTTCTTGGCGTTTTAAACTCAGTCAATCCGGCTGCGAGTTAATACTCAAAATTTGGTGCCACCTCAGCACAAATAGGCGGAGAACAAAAGCCACATTTGTGAAGCCGGGCTCGAATGTAAAAGTAGGGGAGCATCACATTTGTGTGACTCCGGTAGCTAAATTGTTAGGCATTTCGAACTCTTATATTGCATTGCTGCTGGAGAAGGATTTTCATGTCTACGACGGCGGGACAACCACCACATTCTCTTTCTCATTTAGCTGCATCAGGTCATGCATCATGACCCCCTGAACTTCTCTCACTTATTTTAGTCGATTTTAGGGGTTTTTAATACTTGTAAAAAATGGGTTCTACACTGCTGACACACTTATTAAAGAACAAATGTGGGGCTGTTGAGGATCCATTTCAGTATCTGCTTTTTCCTTTTGTTGCGGATCGTTAAAATATTCATGTGGACTTTTTTTCGCGGAAAAATGCACAACCAACTTGTGATTATGTCGTAATTCCGGGTCAGCCTCAAACCACAGTCATAACACAACAGATCGCCAGACCATCTGTTGTTCGCAGGTCTTTATTACACAAACCTGTTGATAAGGCATTTACCACAAGTGGCAAATGATTATTACTATATATTATGAATGCGGAATATGCCCTTACCTTAATTAACGTCCCTACCCCAAGCTTGAGGTTTAGCCTTGGCCTTCCGTCACTTTTGTTCCTGGAACAACTTTGCCCTTTGCGCTTCCAACTTCAATAAATGCTCCGTTTAACGATAGTTTTGTTCTGTTTTGATTTACACGAAAAGATTTATGAGCCTCTCTCAATTAAAGCACGGGAAGGAAGTTGAGAGTTCTTCTATTTTTGCAGACGAGGGAAGTTTATTAAGCATCAAGGCCACAAAAAGCGTATTATTTACCTCACTTGAACTAATTGGCAAAATCTCTTGCAGCTTCCACCTGTGGTGTGCCTGGCAATGACGACACACGCCACAACAATTGGCTCCGCCGTAGCGCGGTTGCTAATCGCGTTACAGGCTTCCAATCCATCAATTAGTCAGCAGTGAGTGGTCTGGTGGAGACCCCGCTCAGTCACCGTCGCTTGCAAAGTCCTATGTGCGAAAGGGATTTCACTTGTTCTCCTTCTTCTTCTTCTTCACTCCTCATCAGCCCGTAAGAAGATTTTCATTCTCTTAAACCTGCTAAACATGATTCCGCTCCTAGACTGCACTTTAAATAAGGAAAAATTTAAACTAGCAGTACCTGACGACTAAAAATTTAAAATGTTCTTTTTGAGCCTTAAAAGGAGAAAAATCCTTGGTAAATAAGGTTTATATCATTTTATGTTTCCACTTTTTTAACCCGTAAACAAAGAATCTCCTTTTTTGAATCTTACTCCGTTGAATTATCAATTAATAAATTTCACCCCAAAAGTTCAATGGGTTTGATTTCCCGGAGTTGCATATGCATTTCCCTTGAGAATTTCCTATTTTTACTTAATGATACAAGCAAGCCATTTTAAGTACCTTGGCTGTTGGGCAGCATAAAAGGCAGCACTTCTCCTTCTGCTTCTGGCATACGTCGTCAGACTCGTGTTTACAGTGTCGATTTGTGGAGGGCAAGTTTAGTTTGAAATCTCGTCCTGTCTCTTCCGTCGAAAGCAACCATGCAATTTTTTTTGCGGACACTTTTCAAAATGCAATAATATACGTATGACTTTCCTTTTTTGTCGGCCCCTTTTTACTTGCCAGTGTTAATTTTAACAAGCGGTTTGTGTTTGTATCCCCCAAGCGGTCTCGATCTCAGACAAATTTACCGGGACGAATGAGGCACCTTGCCTGCATTCCATTGTTTACTTTACTGTTTGACTTTATGCAAAAAATCAACTTCTTCCTCAACATCTTGCTATTAAAATTAGCGAATATGTGTCAACCTCCATTGTCATGACGATTGTTCGCAACCCAGTTCCCATCCTTTACTGTGTCAATTATCAGACACTTGGTGGATGCAAATTTTTTTTTTTCGCCGTAAAAGAAACACCTTATTTTCGGGAAAGAAGTTATATCCGATTTGATTGACTTTGAACTGGTTAACAAACTTTTATGCTGGAAAAATAATTAATAACTACAAATCCGTAATATATTTTTAACAGGAAATTTTGGGATTTTATCCACAGTTGTCTGTCAAAATGACGATAAATCACTCATTTTGGTTTGCTGAAAGAAGATTGCAGCTTTTATACTAAAATAGACGGAAAATTGTGTAAAAATGTGGTTGAGAAGGGGACACAAGTTTGCTGCGAAGCACATTCATGCACCATATTTTGTCGCTCTAGTCACCTTCATTTCTTTCCACTTTGACTTCTCAACTGTTAGTTCTGTGAGTACATAATCGTGGTAAGGAAAGATGAAAATCATCCGTGACTGTTGTTCGGTCTTCGGTAAGAGAATAATTTCATCCGGAAAGCTGACCCAGTCTTCCGAAGACGGAGTGGCGCCTCTCGCAGAAGAGTGGGGCGAGTAGTCCCGGTGGCAAATCGCCTGGAAATAATCAACGACGTGTTCGTTTGCCATATGGACGTCGCAACGCAATAGCCATTTCCGCATCACAAGTCATCAGCCAGTTGGTAAACATTATTAAACACTCGGTGGATTTTGTGACGCAAGTAAATTAAATGAGGAACAACAAGTTGGTAGCCTCTCTATTTCAGTGTCGCCTGCTGTCAGTGCGCTTGCATAGCAACCTCCATAAAATTCGTCAATTGTCATCAAATCGTTTCATCACGCCTGAAACCCTAGTCTCGAATTAAAGTGCCAAAAGCTTTACTCAATTTAAAAATAGGAGAGTTTCTTCGCCGTGTTACATCTGTCCTTGTTTGTTAACATCACATCAGCTAAACCATAACCAGACGGTACTTTCTGAAACCGCCCGTCGCGAATTCTCCAAATGCGAGGTAACCCCGCCTCGTATAACAAACGGGCTCAAGTGTCATCCACCAGATTCAACTGTCATCCCGTGATGAAAGGGTCCAAAATAAGGGGAAATTGCTGAGAAAACGCCAAAGGATCCACCTACGCTTTGTAATGCAGGCATATTAACCATTGCATGCATTTTGCATGCCTTGAGAAGCTGCAAGTCATTTTATCAAACCATACTGAAAACTGCACGGACTACCGTCGTCGCCTGATGTGTTCAAAAAAGCTTTTTAACTCCCGAATTGGCACGCCACAAGTCTACATTTTAAATCAATTTTATGTCATTTTAACATTCAAATGAGAAATCATCAAAGCCGACAATTGAGTATGGATGGGTGGATTTGCGACAAGATTCTATACAGACAAAATCTTTTAGTGCCTTTTTTTTCATTTTTCCATTTTCCAGCTTAAGCAATGCATTTTTAGTCATTTTTAATTGTCCATTACCGAATTTAACCCTGTTTCTGTATACGGTTTGATTCGAACCAGTGCAAGGTTCTTTTCAACGGAAAAGGTGGAAATGAAATGTTTAGCTTTTCCTTGAAAGGGGTCACCGTTTCGTTGCCATTTCATCGCGACATCGTGTGAAGTATTGCAGGCATAAGGAAGGCACACGCACGTACGAAGGCGAGAACGCCGCCACGCACGCACTTTACGACCCAGTCCGAGGTGATTGGCTGCGAGTGGATTGAAGGTAAATTCGTCGCCACTATAAAGCCACCGCTTCACCACGAACCGAGGGTGCTGGAGCCCTTACTTGACCGAGGTTCCTGTCTTCGAGAATGCACAGTCCCTTCCACCCATCCGTGGCTGACCCACCCACCATCTTTCCCCATTCGACGGTTACCACCAACCCCGCTTCCCCGCATCTACTCATTCTTGCGATGTTAATGACCCTTTCACTAGTGAATTCCTCACCTCTGCCAAGCGATCTCGAGAGCGGTGTGAATTATGTAGACCAGAAAACAATATTGGTTCCTAGTTTTGAGATGGATAAACGCAACAATGTCTCCGATCCACGACGAATCATGTGCGGCTATCAGTTGATTGTCAACCTCAAAATGCAATGCGGAGATAGAGGGACGTATTCGCCCTACGAACGGGGTCCGCGTATCAAGCGAGGTCTTCGATTGGGTAAGAACTGCGATTTCGCCAAAATAAAGTTGAAAAGTGACCCGGGTTAGGAGTCTGCCACCAATATGCAAACGGCGATTACCGGCACTGGGGATATGTTTTAGAGCTTAAGCTTAAACACAAGTTTTTTGCACACATCACTCACATTCTCGGTTTCCTGACTTAAAAAAAATGTCCTTTATTCATTTTTTGCTGAGTATGTGGGCAAATATTCGTGCTTTCTGCGTGTTTGTGACAAAACAAAAACTCCTCTTTCAATAAGAATTTTTCAAGGGTGAACCAAATAAAATAATTTGGAAGGTTAATTTGCCTCAAAGTTCACGGGGCGGATCATGTTTTGTTTGACCTCATAAGGCCAACTAGATGAACAATCAGGGCTGGAACATCTTGTACTAATGATTAGTCCTGTTTCCTACCATTTACAACAATCAGGTCGACCAGCTCCGCTATACAGTCCGTTGAAGAGTCGAGGAAGAAAGCATGATGATTTTTGCTCCATTTACCTTCGCTACGAGCCTTACACCATTGTCACGGAATGCTGCTGTCGTGGCTGCACTCGTCGGTTTTTGGAGCAGTTCTGTGCAAAAGGCTGAACTGATGTCTCGACCTCCTCTTCCACCCTCTCGCCCTCCTCCATCACCTTCTCCTATCATCACTCTTTATTTTTGTAAAAGCCGTATTCAGCAACTATTTTTCCCCCCCTCCCACTCCTTAATCCATCAGGCATTTGTATAGATCTCGACTGATCCCTTTGTGTAAAAAGCCTTGTCGATTAATTTGCCAAATTACTCTGCATTTAAAATTGAATAAATTGATTAAGATTTGGTGTGGATTTCTACAAAATTCCAACTTTTATCAACCGAAGGGAGCTGTGAGGCGACTCCTTCACTTCCAGGAGTCGGAGGTGATGCTGCCCAACTTTACATGTTTTGAGGGATGCGTGTGTATACAGAAGGTTGTGAATTTTAAGCTAGAATATGCTTCTGAATTTGGAGAAGAGGTATTCAACTTTACTTGTAACACAGATTCTTTGCTTTAGAGGAAATGATGAGCTTATTCAAGTAGTTGTAGACTGTATTTAGGGAGCATCTCCTAGAGACCAATTTCCAGTTGCTTCAAAACGGTCTTTTACACAAAGCGATACTTTTGTATTGTGTTGAAGTAATTCTTGAAGTCGGTTAGTCTGATTTGGAAGACAGTCCTTTGAAAAAAGGTGGAAGTAGATGAGAAGAGGGATTGTAATTCAGCCCAAAAATCTCACCTTAATGCCGGCAAGTTAGAAAGGCGACTAAAATAAATAAATTTAACTTTTAAACGGGGAATAAATGCTTTCCACAGTAGTAAACGTCCGCCTTTTCTCACTATACTTGGCCGTTGGGTCTTGGAGTTAATTTGGAAGGGAAGAGAAAAAGGTGGTGAAATTTACACTACCTTTCTGAAGCAAGGGAGGCATGAATCACGTCCACTTCCCTATTTTGAAGCTAAAAAAGAAGAAAACGATAGCTACCGGCTTTGCAGGCTGCAAAATGCTTTAGGAGATGCAATTTTGAGGGTAAATACAGGATGCAAGAATTGTGAATGCACATCGGTTGACCTTCAAATAAATGCCTCTTTAATCGCAACTTGCAGTAAACAAACAAAGTCAAATACTTTATTCATGTGATCAGCTAATCATGCCAAATGTTACACATTAAATACACAGAGAGATTCGAAAATAATAAGGGGATGTATAAAGCGAAACATTATGGTGATGTTCTGCTTTTCCTCACTGGGGATCTCGACGGAAAAGCTGACATAACAAAGCATGTGTGTTATATTGTTGTCACCCGGAATTAACCAGCTAACTAAACAGAGTGTAAGTGCTCTTTGAAGATCGAGAAGAGAGTGCATCTTGTATCAACCAAGCCGCCTAAGACGAGAGATTTTGTACGAATTCAGCTAGAAGAACGAAACATTTGATATGGATGGTGAATGTACTGATTCGTTGGTCACATCACCCTTCGGATTGGCTTGACGGCATTTCACACTTCATTTTCATAACAATCTGTGGGTCTGGATAGGATAAGAAAGTATATCACTAATGCATGCTGACTTCAAGAGGGAAGCTCAATGCACTTTCCTGGATTGAATAACCCACAAGTACGACATTTATAGCATTCTTTGAATGCTGATGCAAAACAATAGGGCTGCATCTGGCACCAGGAAATTTATGCACAATCTCACACACCCTCAATGTGTACTTCGTTCCAAAATGGGCTTTTCGCTCTATTACGGTCGCTACGTGTCCTCTTCGCATGCCATACTACTAAACTTTGCCATTTAGGATGCAAGAACAAAAATAACTGCATTTATGGATCAACATTGCATTGTTCAGCTGCTTCATTTTTGTGCTAATGACTCCTTCAAACACGGAGTATTTTTGTTCTTTTTTAAAAAGCAGGTTCCCACAATCACGAGAGCGTATCGCCTTTCGCAGAAAAAGATGCCTTCAGTATTTGTGGTCACTTTAAAGGTATGCCGTGCAGCTTTCTAGCAGTCTTACCTAAATACCGATTTAAGCAATAAAGTGTTTACAAATTTCCCTTCACCTTATTGCTTTGCTGTGTTTACCTTAAAGTCTACTCGCCGTCATGTCAACCGATCAAGGTCATATGAAGGGAGGGGGAGGCAACCTCATAGAGTTGGTGGATCTAAAAGAGTGATTATGGGTAAATCTCTGTACATAATGGGCGAAAAATGCTTGGCGTTGTTTACACACCGTGTCAGATTATGATGATTTGATGTAAAAGGTATGCCTTTTCCCGAGTGGAGTTGATAGCAGACAGGGGTGCCTAAGTCTCCCTTCACTTACCTGATCATCACTGCTGTCATCGTCCGACCTTCAAAAACTTTTATCGCACGTAATTCGTGCCAGTTATTGTATTTGCTTGCGATTGTTGCCAAAACACGATTAATCCGCTGGAGAAGAAGGCATGAACCAATTCCGGGTGAGATTGCAGAGCTGTTTTGAAGAAAGGTTTGCTACTTATGTGGTAAAAATATTCAAAACTTGAAGGTGCAGAGTTTGACACAGTAAAGCTTCAAATGGTAGAGGAAGGTGCCTGTTTATCATCCATGTGTCGTTTTACAAGTCGAAAGGCATTACAGTCTTTTTGGGTCTAGTTTGTTTCGGAAATCTCAGTTTACCAACTGGAACTTGTTTAGATATATGAAGGGGCAATGTAGACATTACTTTCAGTAATAAAGCCCGGGTTCAACAACTTTTTGCGCAGATTTCCTTCAAGGTCTATTTTAGTCGGTTGCCTAAAGAGGAAGGGCACAAACCTTGCATAGAAACGTCTAAAATCATTTGTTTCAGAATCTTCATTCCCGTCATTGCCCGTTTGTTGAATTTACATATCAACTGCATTTTTTACAAAAAAGAGGAAAGGCCCGCTAGGCTTGAATATTAATACTTTCCTTTTTGCATGAATTTGAAGTGCAAGCCTATTTAATTGATATGTTATTAAGGTAATGGTATGATTTCGGCAGTGAAGATAACTAGCAGGGAACATCGTCTTAATCGACAGTACAGAAGCTTGTTTTTGGCAGTTAAATTTGAAATTAACGCAATCTAAGTGAAGATATGCAGTTAAGAGCAGTGATGACTTGTTCCATTGGAGTCGAAATAATAAAAGCGAGATTTTAAGGTTCTACCGAAAACCAAACATTTCTAACTTGGAACTGAAAACGATTTTGTTTTAAGGAAGTAGGTGTTTATTAAACAGCCCCTTCCCCGGTCTGGTTAATTTGTTTTCTCAAATTTTTGAAAAATTTAGAAGTAAACTCGCAAATTAGTAGGCTCCAGGAGAAAGGATTCAAAAAATCTTATTTGCGAGGCACCTCAAGTTAGTAAAGTTAATTATAAACCACTTTTCTTTTTTTAAATTCTGTCAACTTTCCGCTCGAATATCTTTTGGCTTAGAGGAATGTGTTCTGTTACTAAATTTTATGGTGTTTTTATTTCTTCAGTCCTTCGGATTCTAAGGACACCTCGGGGGAGGGTGCAAAAGTCCGTACTTTGCGGTTGCATTTCACAAGCGAGCGCTCAACAGAGGCAGAACCTAAGCAACATACTTGGACATAAGCTGGATCCCATGGTGACGTAAAGGGCGCATCAGGATTAACTAGTAACCGTTTTGAGCCTTGATAATTATCCTGATGCAACTCAACGCATTTCCCTTCACTTACGCCTCAGCTCTTATGCAGAGGGAAATAAAGTTATTGTTTTTGTGTGGGGTACTTCTACTATAGGCATCTTACCCTCTGGCTCTGCCGATTTTATAACACATAATTAGACCGCACCATTCGCAATAGCAGAAAAGTTGTCAGTGTCATTTTCTTGTCTTACAGGTGAGCTACTGAGTGTTCTGAGCGACTAAACAAATTGCAACAATACTTGCTACTTGTATAGATCAAAAACATGTAAATTTATTAATTAAGAACTCATCAATAATGCATTCTCCAAATGTTCATTTTGAAAGTAAAATGCCACAGATTTAGCTTAATACTTCGAACTGATCGCGCAACGGATCTCTCACCATTGATCATGGCACACTCTCAAAGCAATTTGTTAACTTCCTCTCACTATACGGGGTCTGGTTGATTGCATCCCATCTTTCTTATCATAAAATCAGTCATTTGATAATTGACTTTTACTTTGAAAATAATATAATAATATTTAGTAGAAGTCAGGGGCAACAAACTTTCAAACACTTAAATTGATTCGCAGTGGGTGTGTTCCGCCCACACTTTGTGACGGGACGAAGGATTAAAAGGCGCCGCTTTCAGTAGTCACCGAAAATAACAAAAAAATAACCACAGTGGTTGCGCATCCCTGCACTATTGTCCTCTGGAATTAAATACCCCTGCTACCACGTTTTAATATTCCTCCCTCCTGTAGACATTTTTGCGTAGGCTTGATTGCTTATCCAATCGTGTTGCAAGCCCTGGTGCCAAGACAGTTTTAACATCGAATGGCAGAGACCTTGATCAAAAGCTAACGGAATATTTGCACACAGATAGAGAGTAGTTTGCGAAACAAAGATTGTAAAATTTAGGAAACCGATTTTTGTATAAATGATTGTTAATCTAATAAAATAACATCCCCTCCTTATTCTTGTCATCTACTACGCTCGCGGTGCCAGAAGCCATTGCTACCAGCTCTTCCAACTACACTCGGAACAAATTGGCCAAAAATGCGGCAATTGGGATGACAATGTCTTCAGAATTATATGCACGATGAACGAATAACTTCAAAGGGTTAAGCAAATTTGTAGTGACCTACCATGACTCCCCGTAATACCTCTAAACTTACCGAACGACTTGACGATAACGTTAATAACGTTGATGACACCTTCTCCCCCTTCTTGTCTATTGAGAAACATACGTTTTTAAAAAAAATTGCCCCTTGGGAGGTTGTGAAAAAGGGTACATTTTGAAGGAGATTCCTACTTTGCAGTATTTTTTTTCATTTCAAGTGATAAGTTATCAATGTGAAGTAATCACCCTTCCAGTCGCCTGCATTCGCGTAGGAAATTTTAAAGTCTAAGGAAGCGAATTAAAATTCCCATCATAGAGTTTGTCAGTAATGCCTAATCAATGGGATCACCTTCGTGCATTTCCAAAAGGTGGCAAAGTCAGAGTGGTGCTTGCCTTGACAGTAAATTTTTGGAAAGTACAGACCACAGCCGCGTAGACTGTCCCTTCCAAATGTCATTCTAAATAAATAGTTACTTTGTGTCTTTCAAAAATCCTTTTAATTTACGCAGTTTTCAGTTTTCAATTTCACAGTCAACGCACAAGCTGAAGGATAAAGTACGTGACGATTTCGCAAGTATACCCTCTCTCTCAGGTGCGGCTTCTTCGTACTCTTGCTGCGTACCACCCATTGCTGCGGTAGCCTGTTTTAGAAGAAATAAAAAAATTCACCATTTTATTTGCAAATCTGGCCCACATTGCAACATGGAAGGAAATCGACGTAAATAGAAAGAAGACAATTTAAAGAAATTGGTGGAGGGTTGTATATCCCAGGAGACGCATCCCATATTTTCTCATTCCATTGGATGGGTACTTGGTGAACTGAGGGTGGGATGCTTCAGCCCCATGAAACACGTGAGCATTTGAAATTTCCTTGAAAACTTAAGCAAACCTTCATTGTTTGTGCAAGAAATACTCAGCAGACAATCAGAGAAACATGAGGTTAGCTGTTTGTTCTTCTCTAGGGGTGCGCAACGATTAACAAATAAAAAGATCTCGACAAAAAACCACCATTTCATTGGTCAAGTATTTATTTAAATTTGGAAATTTTGTGCGCAATTTAAAAATTTATTTAGCTTGGTGATATTTCTGTCAAGTTTCAAGCATTCGAATCTGTCTGTTGTGTTTTAAATGGCAGGTCGATTACTTCATCAAAACCATAAATATTACAACTTTTGAAAAGGCAAACTAATTTTGGTTTCCGGCTTTACCTATGAAACCCTCCCTTCAAACATCATTGGACAAGTTAATTCAAAATCTGGATTTTGTTTTTCACTTAAGACACCGGTTGCCAATTCCGTCTTTGTTTCGGTCCCTTGGCTCAAGAATAATCGAGGTGAATACTTTCCATTGGTTCCTGCGACTGACTGATGCCTAGCCGGATTGCCCATCAAATACCCACGCTCCCGACAACAAAAGACCAAATCATTCCTGTTCTCTGCCTTACCACACCAGATCGACTTCCCAACGCAGTCTTTTTCCTTTTAACGCAATTTTACAAGATGACGAAGTGGGGAAACATGGAATGGCAAAGTTGAACAGATGGCGGTTAATTCTCCATTGCGAGTTTTGTGTATTTTGAAACCTCCATGACATTGGTTATGCCGCATCCCTACAAGATACTCACACAACACTTTGCCTTTGAAAACCAAAAAAAGTAGCCCCAGCCACCTCTATTCCTGCGTCACTTTTATTTGCCAAGCGTCTAGTTCAAATCGAGTCGCCTAAAATTAAATATTATGAGAAGGTTCTGACATGTAATTTCACATTGTTAGGAGGCTTTCTCAGTCCAATGGATCTACCTTTAAGTGAATGATCACCAAAGTCACATTATTTACTTAAAGCATTTTTTAACGGCACGTTCCGCCACCACATCTTCTCCAAACACTTGACAACGACAACAAACGTTGCGAGAAGCGTCTGCGGCAACCTGGAACAGGATTATGCAAGCAAGCTCAAAATCACATCCATCAGGTCCGCTCGAGTGACAGCTTTATAAAAGGCGGGTTCAAGGTAAGAGGAAGGTAGTAGAGAAGTGACGCTTTTGTTTTGTGGAAGCAATGGCACGCATTTAACAAGTCATTTGTGAACTATACTTTGCATAGAAGGTGTTAAGACAAACTTGGTATAATTCATATATTGTATAAACCCTGTGAATAGGCCTGCATGGAAGTTCAAATGAATCTAAAAGTGAAAGTAAATGAAACCATTTGCAATTCACTTCACACCTTTCTTCCAACTTGAATGAAGTTACCAACCGTGGAGGTTTTTTAATAGAAAAAGAGGTGGCATAAACTCCTTGGAAATTAATTTGTTTGTCTAGTAGCTGGGCCGCTGCTTGCATTGTTTTTGTACTTATTGATAAATAACGCCAAGGAGGAGATGAATCAAACAGGAGGCACGGTTTGAATCATAAATGCAAATTTAGGACATTTATGCTTGATCAAATCGTGTAGTAGCCAGGAAGTGACGTGATCTTGCACCGCCTCCTTGCCTTCAAATTTTGATCAAGGACCTCGCAACACCTAGCCGTTCTCTGCGAATGTACCCACATTCATTTAAACCCCCCCCCCCCCCCCCAATTGGCACTTTGCAAGATACTCGTGGCATGGAAAAGGAAGTGAGCCATGTTTTGACGCATGTAGTCTTCCATCATTGCCGTATCTGCCGGCCGATCGGAAGTCGGGATATTTCTTAAAGCTCTATCTACCCAATGACCCCTCATGACATTGAAGGGGAATTAAAGCTCCTGGCACAAATGCGCATAAATACTTCCAAAAACTGGTTCAACAAACCTATGCAACTTCGCAATCGCCTTCAACTCTCACGCCTCCTCCTTCCTTCGTTACTGCGTCAAATAAACAAGCTTGCTGATCCTTCTTTTGCAAAATCCAACGGTACATCAACTAAATAACGGAGGGTGTATAGGGTGATAGCGAGAAAAGCCAACACGATCACAGCCGACAAATAATATGAAAGGGGAAGGGAGGAATGAAAGTCTCGATGCTATCATCACTTTGAGGCTGCCATGGACTCAGGGAACTCGTTGAACAGTGACACCTCCAGCACTTGACTCAACGTACCTTCGTCAAAGACTTCGCTGGACGTCTCCAAGACGGTACGCTTTTCTCCGAGACTAAAAATGCGGAAGGAGGTTCCAAGTAAAATCAAACTCGGTCAGCTCAATTGTACATTTAAGTACGCCGAAATCGACAGTCGCCACGATTTAAATGAATGGAGAACGCAACCTCATGAGGATGCTTTATGGTGACTATCTTATTAAGTAGTTTTGCTTTTAGGCAAACCCCCTATGAAGGGCAAATGAAGTGTGGCATACACATTGTCCATTCTTCACGACAATATGGCAAATGATTCCCTCCTACAGTGCAATTCATAAACGAAACTGTCATTGGATATGAAGTTCTTTGCTCCAGTCATGCGGGTGAACGCTGCAATGCATCTCAGCATTTTGCAATGGTCAAAGCAGGGGAGCAAGGGTGGGACATGCCAAATGTAACGCTCAAGACGGATTATTTGTTATTTTAATAATTCAAAGCAAAGCACATTGTGTTAAGACCTCCATAAGACTTGTACAAGGCCGTTCCTGTTGTAGGTTTTTCAGTACTTCAGAATTTACCCAATAAATCTTACCTCTAAAACAATATAAACTAAAATTTCCTTCCTTTGAGTTGGCTCTAACTGCAGCCGTACATGTGAACAAAGGTGAACGACAAACAAGTCAGTAAATAAAGTGCGAAAGATGCGAATTAAGGATGTAATTTGACGTCGAGAGTCATCAAAGTGGAGTATCCATAACAGCTATAACTCTGCTTCCATTAGGTAAAATTACCGTGTTTTTATCGCATGAACAAAAAAGAGCAATTCGTCTACGCGTTTTGTTTTTGTTATATTATTGCAGCAACAACAACTGACCCTTGTAAGCACAATCCACAATACTGAAAAAGCATGAACACCCTATCCAGCGGGTTAAATCCAAAAAAGTGAGGAAGGAGGTGAGTTACCTTCTAAAGAAGAGTTCAAGAGGCTCGAATGTGGTCACGTTCTTGAGAGAGAGAATGAAGTAGCACGCGCTTGTCATCGACAGTAATTGAGTACTGTAAGTTTGGTTTTCACCTTGATAGATCTGCAAATAAAGTGGACGAGGTTAAAAATTAATGTCGATGCAAGAACAGTAGTGGAGCTCTTTGGAAGCACCTAGCTGTTACCATCTTCTCAAGTATTTCAAAGGAGGATTCATTTACACGCAATGCACGAGATGCACAGCGACTGCTGAAATCGGGAAACTTCTCTTCGTGATGCAAATTCGGCATGTCATCCTCATTCCCGTTTCGCGAGTGGCTCCAAAGCAGTCGTGGATCAGTGTGAAAGAGAAAATACTGGAAGGCTCATGGACGACGCTCAGAGCCAGAGAGAAGGTGATGGTCACCTTGATCGTACCCAATGCTATAAGCGTTGTCCTCCAGCTCTTTTTTACCTATCAACAACGGCTTTTGCCAACTTTCACAACCTTTTAAAGACAATATTAAGGAGGACATGGCTTAAACCGATGTTTCGTTCGAAAATTCAACTGTCAAAATGATTAAAAAAGTGAGGCAAGCATTCAACATACCATGACAGGATGACGACTCAGAACAGAGGGATTATCGAGACTACATCCAATTTTAGTAGTCACTCTGGTTAAAACCGGTGCGTCCGTTAGGAAGCTGTCTCCATAAAGAAGGATTTGCACCTATCCTACTTTTCCGGAAGAAGATCGGAGCTGCTTTATTATCCATTTCATTAAATTGCTCTACTTTCCCCAAACAGAGATTAAGGCATGAAATGCATCCACCTTTAGCAGTACGAACCCCGAAGCAATTCACAAAGAGGCCGAAAAAGGGGATTGCAACGGAGTCAACGATTTTCACCATTGACTTTGAAATCGAATGTCTTCCAGCGTCGACATAAAACCAAAGTATAACCTTTCTTCCTTCCTGGAAGGCGGCTCAAATTGTGACTGGCAATGCAACGTTGTTTGAAACTCAATGTTAGCACATCGTCAACCCTTCTCTACGTTCAAAACAAAGTTATATCCGGGTCCAAACAAAACCATGATAAAATCCGGCTGTTTTAATTGCTCTTGTTTCTCTCCTAATGAAATGGAAGGAAATTCGGAGAAAAGTGTTTATATTTTACTAAGTAAATTGACATGACTCCTTGGCTAAGTAGAAATCGAGGGAATACGTCAGATATCTGGATGAACATGCCTAGGCTTCCTATGTGATAACTTCTGCCCAAAAAAGTTGATTACTCTAGCAGGCCAGACGTCACCCTTTGATATAAAAATGAGTAGGATACTCTTACACAAAAGTGCGCCAGAAGAAGAAAAAGTGATACATCACATACCGTTTGCCGCAGATGGAAAGTTTATGCCTAAAACTAACCTCCTTGAAGTAGATCAAACAGAGAATTTTAGTTTTACAGACAGAAAAAATTGATAATGTTGTGGAAGTGCATCATATCGTAGGTCAGTTCCATCGAAAAAAGATGCTAGACAATAGTGGCAAGGAGTGCGTACATGCAACGGCAGGTGACGTTGAACGACCTCTCTTGCCAATACAGGCGTAACATCCGAGCCCGCAAAATCTACTCGCACAGACTTCAAGCGCAGAACGGTGCGGTGCAATACACTCAGCAGTAAGACATTTCAATGACCCACACCTTTCAAAGATGGTCGTACATCTGCACGTCATTGACGATTGTGAGCGTAGTGGTTCCTAGTGTTTTCAGTTCATGGCTTCGGCAGCCATTCCTGTGAACATCTAGCCAACACGCGAAGTGCCTGTCTGATCTTGAACCCCTAATCAACACAACCTGTTGAGTGTTGAAGGGATGGAATACAAGGTATGGGGAAGATGACAATCATTTGCGAACGATTTCACCTTCGAAAAGTTGCCAAACACAAAATGTCCTGGGGTGGTATAGATGTACCAATAAACTGCCCCATTCTCAGACTACCTCCCATGCATTATTTAGCTACTGAGGTAATTTCCTAAACCCATCGAAGGTCTATGTAAAAAAATGCCTTCCCTACTGCATGAAGTTTATTTTTATGGCTTTCATAAACCCAAAAGCCTCAGCTTGGCTCGTACAACTCTCCAAGTGGAGTGGAAAGTTTTGAAACTGCAGATTGCTGCCGATATCCCATTGCAGTTACAACGATTAAGGAAGAAACCCGAAGGCGATTCATGAAAGAGATTGATGGAAGGGTGAATGTAAAAAGGTAAAATGACTGCATTGGTATTGTTATAAGAGACGACACTCCTAAGTCCAAATAGTGGCAACAAAAAGGAAGGAATATCATTCTATCATACATTAGGTAACATGAGCAGAATATGTGTAAGCAAGCCGGTGAGAAACAAACGCATCTCTATCGCCAAGGGCGCTGGGTTCCCCTTTATCGGGTCATCCATGAACGCCACAAGTGGTTTGCATTCGTGACGTCCAGTCGGCTACAGTCACGACCACAAGGAATGAGGTAAAAACTGTGAAAATGATTCCCTAATGTGAATAAATACTCTGATTCAAGTTAATTCCGGGTTCCGCAATTAACTGGGCAGGAAGCTGAGTCAAAAAAATTACAAGGGCTTTTTCAATTTAACGCCTGCAGTTTGCGTTTTCTATTCTTTATTCTTAATTGGATCAATTCAAACCTAGAATCAGTCGACAACGCCAGGAAAAAGTGTGCAATGGAGCAAGGGAAAATACTCACTGAAGTTAAACCGGACGAGATTTGGCTCATGAGAGGTTGGAAAGCAGAGTTTAATTCGCTTCTCTCCACCTCTTCTCCCTTGGATCTTCCATCCGCTCGATGATTAATGAACACCCAACGATGACTGAAAAGAAGGGGAAGTTATAATAAGGAGCTTTCAGGTAAATTGGCGTAGCCGACTGAAAACTAGTGAGAATGGTATCCCAAGAATAGACGTCGTTTAAAACTCGACCGGGTAAAGTTTACTAGCCGACAGGTCGAAAAGCATCGAGAATCGCAGCAAGTACAAACTAATGATGGTGCAATTCCAAAGGTTAGTTCTTAACGAAGGGAGGGTCGAGGTAAAACGGGCTTGGTTCAGTTACGAATTTTAGGGCTTCAAGAATTTAACCAAAATCAAAGTAAAAAACCTTACGCACGCTACCTAAATAACCAAATAAGGAACTAATTTCCAGTCCGTATAAGAAGTCGCGATATCATTATGTAGTTGAGACAAGATCAATGGAACCTTTCTAGCCTTCCCCAGTGAGTAAAGGGATTTACTGCCAACAAACCCAACTATGATGCTAGAGTCGCACAAGTGGATGCCGATTAATTGCTAGTTTGAGTAGGATAAAGGACCAGTGTCGATTACGTAAGGAACGAATGGATGTTCGATATGGAAGGGAAGAGAAAGGGTTTCATCACACCTATGAACTCAAATAGAAGTGTCAAGAGAGTTCAATTGCTCAAACTGGTAGCCGACAAAAATGAAGTGGAATGGTTCAAAATTTCCAACTGGTAATCAAGTTGGTAGGCAACAGTATTGATGGTAGTGTCCACATGCAATACGATGATAGGACACTCAGTAAATCAAAAGTACGATATTTCATCGATGTGAACACTTCAAAGACAGCCGCATGTTTGTGTATCGGTAGCGATTCTGGTTGCCTAGACGATCATTTCTTTGAAATTCCAGTAATCGCGTGGAACGCCTGATCGACACAAACTATCACAGACGAATCTCCCTATGTGAAGCTAAAAAACTGTTGGGACAGCTTTTCGCTTTTGACTGATGACAAATTAAAGCAAGTTGTTCTAGGATGGTACAGACATCCTGACGAAACTTTTAATGCTGAAGCTGCCTTTCAGGGATTAGTTAAACGCTGAAATAGGAACGTAAATGTTACAGTAGAAGGTGATAAGGAATGGGATATGCGCTGTTTACACTTTGAAAATAGTAATTTTTTTCTTTTCCTTCAAAAACTCCAGTTTTGGTTGGACCTGAACGATTCCCACTGTTTAAAATCGGACTTACAAGAGAAGTTGAGGGATAATGGATTCAGGAAGTAGGAGGATTGTTGCAAGCAGTTTGCAGGCAGATAGAAGGATGGTCAATTGGGACTGGGGCAGTTTCTGCAGATGGTCAAAGCTCAATGCCGAATGCTTCTTGGATCTGCAGAAATAAAAAACAACCAAATTGAGCGATTAGGATAGCAAGCGTACCCTATTTTGTGAATTCCCATGGAGTGAAGAAACTCTGATTATATAAAAACTCACCCGCCGTTGCATCGCTCTGAGAATATCCGGAATACGTTCACCTAAAAACCCGCAAAGAAAATTATTCTCATCCTCCTCCAATACGAAGCAGTTATAAATGCATTTCAAAGTGGTTGGGTAAAGGTGGTATAATCGAAATTTAGGATTGATACGTCTTGACGATGAAAAGTTTTTGCTAACCGACCTTTAGTTAGGTTTTTGACTTTCTGGTCGATTTAACTACTTTGATAACTATTCGACAGTGTATGGTAGATTCAGGGACACCTCAAACACTAAACCAGTGTTACATGTCATAGGTGATTGCACGAAGCGATCCTCATTATAAGCAAAAGATCCGCAATTCTGGTCTCGAAGACTCACCAGTTCCGGAATGACAATGAACCACAGCGAGGCAAGGGAGTCCGCTGAAATCCTCGCGATAAGGACACGAGTGCAGAGGAAGATTTGAGTGAGAATCGGCACGTTCACATCTGTCATCGCACGGAGGCTGTCCGTTAGTCGTTCTAAAGAAGGAAAAAGGCGGGTGAAAATTTACCGGCAAGGCAGACTAGCTGAAGTATATCCGTGTCAACTGTCAAAATTGTCGTCTTTGACCTTGTCGATTTATTCAAGCAGTAGCGTGTTGTCGAAATAGGGAATGCGTCAAACCTTAACAAATGAAATCACTTCTCCAATTCTACGTCGGGTCTTCACGTGGCAAGTGATTTGTTTATTGTAAAGATTGAAATTGCCCGCCAGAACAAAACTTCTAAAAACTACAATTCTATTGGCTGGCATTTCCACAAAAATGCAACTCAAATATGGCCTTCAGTAGCAACCGATGCACTACTTCTATATGCAAGTCGAACGAAGAGAGTGACCTCTGGATCACTCTCGCAGGTTCCTAATGGGGTCATGCGTACACCTAGCCTTCCAACCAACTGGATTTATCGTGCTTCACGCTACTTAAAAGGAAATGTAAGTAGGGCGGCAGTTAGTCTTACCGAGAATGTCTGAGATGAAACGCGAGTACTGTTCGCACTCACTGGAGAAGACGATGAAATTAATCTTCTTGAGGTGTGCTGCACGTTGTTCGTACTCAGCCTCCTTGCTGGTGAAAATGTTCAGTCCTGTACCCTGTGACACGGTCAGACGGGCTGTAAGCGCATTTGTGTACGTAGAAAGAGAAAAGGCGACCATAAGTAGACGCTAACAGACGCACCAAAAGCTCAATTGAAGGATGGGATAGGATAGGAAAAGTGCTACTAGTATGACCTGAAATACAATAAGGGCGCTACTAAAAAAGGCTCTTTACTACCTATTCTTCTAAAAGCAAATAAAGCGGGCAAAAAATCTAACTTGAAGGAAGGGATATACCCAGAGGTTTACTGATAACCCCCCTGCCTACTATCGCAGTAGAGTGGCACTCAAGTTAACGTTATATCTAACATTGCGGGCCCCTCAGTATCTGCGATTTCAATTTCCATAATACCTTGAAATTCCACCTTTGCATGTAGCTCCTCACCCCTTATTTCGTATTGCTACAACTCATTACATATTTGGGAAAGACAAATGACACTTCATTGAAAGCAATGGAAAGCGAACATGATTCAAATGACCTGCAACCCGAATTCCGTTAAATAATTGCCAAATGCACAGACCTACCACAGAAGGATTCGCCATTTGCAAGCTCCTAATCTCGAGTTCTGAAATAACAACTCACGGAAAAAGTGAGTTCCGTATTTAACAGAACGACTTATGTCAGTCTGAGAATAGGATAGCACTCTTTCGCATATTGGTTCAAGGCGAACATCATTTATGAAAACGAGTAGAAAAGGCGTGTGCTTATTGTAGAACACCACCCAGTTCTTAAACTAATTGGCAAATGAGTCTCCCTCTGAATCACATCGTTAAGCAGAGGATGTGATGTGTAAGGAAATGGACCGAATCTTCACCACGTGACACCACTAATAGATGGAATTCTCCCCATGGGGTCAATCCACCAATACCATCCTTAATTTCAATCAGTGTCAATTACTTTTAACAGGCAGTTCGTTAAGCTGGAAGCGGAAGTATGTCTACAGGCGACGCTGAAGACGATGCTCAAAAAGGTAACGAGTTTAAGCAGTGAAGGCGTAGGCCCCTCAGTCCCCTTATTGATAGCATGGCCTCCACTCAAGCCTAGTGTCCAAGCTGTTTTGTATGCGAGTAATAGATTCCCCACCACCTAGTTTCAGGGGCTAGTCAGAAGCATTACACTATTATCCATTGCTTTGCCAAAATAGGCGAGTTATGGATACAACTTAGGACGCCGGATATGAGTAGAGGTACGCTGAGAGTAAGAAGTAATGGATGCTACTTAAAAGATGGATATAAGCAATTATTTATTGAAATATACCATTACCATCTACAACTTCATAGAAGGAATAGGAATTACATATACTAATTAAAATGTGGATATAAGAACATGTGCTACCGTTTACTATACCATCCATAGCACTATGGAGGATAAAAGCTAACAGATACGCCTTCAAAAGCCAAATATGAGTAGATGTGTGCCAAAGGGCCTCCTAATTTCTATCCCTACAGCCAAAGGAAAGGGAGAGGAGGTGCTAAACACATTAACTAAAAAAGATGTAAGGAGGAACGTACCAAGAGCTTCCTTAAAGGTATTCTTCTCCTGTGTCATGAGATTGTCCACCACAGCGCACCAACTGTGGAGAGCCGGTGCGGTGGCCTGGAAGAAGGTAGAGTCGATAAAGAGTTCAAAGACCTCGCGTCTCCAGGCACGGCGGGTGAATTGGTAAGAGCTCAACGAGGCCAGTACCTGGCTTGCTGCTGTGTAGTGACAGGCGTTGGCGATGCTAACCAGGAGACAAAAGATGAATCTTAAAGCAGTTGCATGCTACGGACATCAAATCATATTCAAAGGCATAGACAGCCAAAATAGTAAATTTATAAAGCATTTTTAATAGCTACTGGAAATGACGAGCGAATAAGAAGATTCAAGAACAACAAATAAAGCACCTCCAATAGTATTATGCTAAGGGAGTTCACGCACAACTTGATAAAAAGCTGCAGTTACTAAAGAGCAGTTTTGAACGGATTATAGAATGGATTATGCATTGCATTTCAGGGACACTTTCAACGACTTACTTGTGCGACTTCAAGAAGGGCAGAATGTTGGCAAGAATGCCATTATTAAGAGCAGATGGCACGCGATCCTTCTCCTCACTCTTGTAGACCACATCAAAGAACACTGCCATGTGCTGCACATCAACAGATGAAAGCAAAGATTACAAAGGAGAGTGGTGGAAGTCGAGAATAAATGTTCCAGTTTTGGCGTACCTCAGCAAGCATCCTGAGGGCTAAAACAGGCAGGTCCTCTTTCAGCGAGGCATACATTGAAGCTGAATCCCGATGGTCTAGAATGCAGAAGAGTAAAACGTAACTAGCCACATAATCTTATCCGTTTGCGGTCATGAATTGCATTTGGTCTATTAAAGTCCTTCTGACCCCAATTGTGTTAATTCTATCGGCTTCTCCACCATTAGCATGACGATGTGTTCGTTCGGATGAGTCTACCGTTACATTCTCTTTAGTTCTCCTGTAACCATCCGTAGGCCAATAAGCTGATGCCATTAATCGACAATGATATCAAATATTCCCCAGGCTGCCAGCACAGACAGTTCAGGAGATTCCAAATTAAAAACTAACCCTTAACGAAACATGAGCTTATTCTGAACTTCACTCTTGCACTATACTTCGTTTCTAGAAGCAATGAATCTAACCTTAGTCGCATTCGTTCCCACCTCACTTTCACTTGGGTAGTACCTAACGTGACAGTCTAACGGTAGGTCTTCCCAGGAGTAAGTTTCGCAGCAACAATGAGGTCGCGCGTTATCTTGCAAGGGCAGCGCTCTCTTACGTTTGATGCACTAGTGCTAAATAACCTTGGAAATGGCATTCAGCACGTGAGCAAATCCATCTGTAGATCACAACACAGACGGAAAGTGCGCTACCTTAGGATGAAGTGTCGTGTGTCTTAGAGCTGAGTGGATAGTGAGTAGAGCGGCACACATAAAAACGCATTCATGTCACGTATAATGTATACATATAAACTATTGAAAGCATTTTACAGGTTCCCACGAATTACAACGAGTCATTGCGTGTACGTACTAGGGTTTGACTGAGACAAAGGCGTATCGTAATAAATGCTCAAAAGAAGACGAAAACTGTGTGATGAAGTGATAGCCCAATTTTCAGCGTATCTAAGCAACCCCTTTCAGCCCCCATGATTCTGCTATCACACCGGAACCATGATTTTTAACTCACGGCGCGCCTATTGCTAATGAACTTGCGGCTCTTATGACCTATGAATATTTACTAGTACTTAGAATTCTGGTAAATTTTTATTGTTAATAGATTACGTATTTCTAAGTACCACGGTCCATCGAAAAACCTATTCTATAGTCCTCTAATTCGTGCATAGGTTGAGAATGTGTGGCACCCTTGCTATCAATTAAGCTCATCACTAGCCACCGCATTGGTCTCAACTCAGGTTCGTCGCACGACACAGAACTCATTTGGGGATCAATGCCAAAATCGTCCACCATAATCAAGCTACCTTTTAGCTCAGGCTGAAAGGAATGCAATATAAACTACAAATTGCATATCCAAATATGAAATTCCACAAACTTGAAAGAAAATGAGGGCGAATTCAACGAGAACTAAAAATGAGTATAGGGATGCCAAAACTAAGCGCAATAAATGTTGAGTGCCTGAAATTCCATTGGGCGAATGCCGATGTCTGAATACATTCAAATTGCTACAATAATCGGAAGAGAGTTTTGATGTTCTAACTCATTGCTCAGCGGAGTAGCAAAATGCATTTTACGAGATGGGTTGGAGTCAGACCGGGAGTTTTAGGTTTTCAGGCATGCATGAAAGGGGCGTGCCATCGTAGTAGTGCCAAACATAGCAGCGAGAGCAAAGCCTGCCCTACTACTACCCATAATGGCTAGTGCAATTAAGATGTCATTTCTCAAAATAAGGCGGAAGAAAACAATGATAGTCCTTGTATACAACATCCCGTGGAAAAAAAACCCACTTTCTTCCCTAGGAAGACCGCGCATGTTTACGGAAGACTTCAAGCACAGCAAGTATGGTGATGGGACATTCAGGCGCTCAGGAGTAAGACATTTGAATGATCCACACGACACACTGTGGGACAGCTGTACATCTATACACCAATGACAATCCCTTGTCGGGGTGATTCCTAGCTTTCCCAGCCGACACACAGAAGCCATTCTTGTGAGCATTTGTCGCAATGGTGAAATCACATGAGAGACTAATCTTTCAGTGAAAATGGTGCTTCCAACACAAGTAATCGGGAATGTTTGCAATTTTGAAAAGTTGCTGCACTCTGAGAACTATGGCAGCTCTTCGGTGTTGAGCAACACGGAGATGAATTATGTACTGAGCTAAGGGAGAATTTCGATAAAACAGGTTTAGATTTTGTGCGTCTCTCCATTATATGCCAAGAAATCGAACTACATGAGCATTCAGATATGACGATGAATCGAAACAAGCTGCCCTACAATGGTTCAGCCGTACTGGCAAATCCTTCCGTGGCGAAAGAGCTTTCGATAGGTGTATAAATGCAACAGAGGACAATGTATCAAAAAGACACAGTTTCTGCTCCACGAAATTTGCACTGTTACGTGGTTTAACTCAAACGTCCCTGCTATACCGTTCATAAGGACAACCGGAAGGCTCCATTTTCATGTACAACAATGCTCGAATAATATCAACTAACCAGAAGAACGGAGCTCCTGCGAGCCATGCAGTGCGCTGGGTGGTGTGTTACCATTGACTTTGACTTCCACCAGAGCTGAATCTGAGGCCACGGGGTGTATAAAGTCAGGTGGACGAAGGCCACCCGATATATCAACCGCAGAAGCCGTTGGCATTGCTGTGGCAGCTACAGTACGGACCTGGAGACCACGACGGAACCATGTGGCCTGTTCTAGTGCTGTGCCGGCTATGGAGGCGGTGGCTTCCATTAGACGCTGGCAAATGTCCTGTAGAGGAGATGAAGCAATCTTGTGGGAGAATAAAGGTTGTTTAAATCCCATTGTAAACTATAAAGTCTTTACAGTCTTGCGCAACTCAACTCCTATATTAGTGGCACGCAGACCTGAAGTACTTCTGTCAAATTCGATTTAAAAGACGGAAGACAAAAATTCTTTCGACTTTAGCAGTTTTCAGCGCGGTTGAGGTGTTGAACACTCTACTTAGGAACATTTGTGCCGTACTGGATTACTACAGTAATTACTGATGGAAAGTGACCGGAGATTCAAGAAGGGAAATTTCAAAAAGAATTGACAAACCTGTAGATCCTTCTGATCACGTTTTTCATCCTTGTTGGCCAGTGTAATAATAACTTCGTTGAAGATTCTGCATGAAAAGCACCAGAAAATGAAACAACATATGAAATTGAAAATTTAAAATAATTAGTTTACTAGAGCCTACACAGATCCAGTTACCCCTAGTGCCTAAAGTACGAACAACACACTTTCCGTAAAGTTAATGTGAATTTATTAATGAACATTCAAAGTCGCGTACTTTGTTTTGGCGGATAACTCAGGTATTATGCTAGTGATAACAGCGAAATATACCCGAAACCGTTCCTAACAATCACCAATACAATTAATCATCCCTTTGCAGCGAGAGGTAAACTTGCGAGTTCCACTATGGTGAAACCTTTTCTTCTCTGAGAGTGCAAAAAGCTATCTCTATTCAACTGTTTCCACCTCAATTTAATGTTCCAATGTTTGTCTACTTCGCATTGAACCTCACTTGGGAAAATATTATTAAAGGAAAGTGGAGGAGGAGGATACGGCAGGACAACATTTTTAAGTTAAACTCGCTCCATAAAGCAGAAGAGGTTGAATCACATTAGTCAGGTTTGTTCGACTGAGTCCGCGACATAAAGGGAAGTTCAAAATAAGGGGGAACAACAGAGATCACAATAAAGAACAAAGCACCGATTCAATGGCACGTATCTGCCGATGACTTACAATGCATGCACGTAAACAATGACGTGAAATTTACAGGTCTCCATAAAGAATTGTTACAGCAAACTATACCACGAACCTCAAAATACCTTAGTTATCTGGTATATTAGGACCACAAATAAGGCAATGCCTGCATTGAATAGGTTCCGCACTCCCAGAAAGGGAAGAGCGTAAGAGGTTTCGTGACGAAACACAGAGTGATCGGAAGCATAACAGTCATGATAACGCCCAAATATTCGATAAAAGTGGACATCATTAAAATGACCTTGTATTGGTGTTCTTTACCAAGTGTTTGGTAAGAATAATGCACTCTCTACAGACCCTCATTACATATTTTGACCGGTGAACATACCGGAATAAGAGATACACTATCGAAACAATAAAGGGAAAGAAATATATACACTTTACTCCTGTCCGCCAGGCGACTCAGATTCACTTAAATGCTGTTTTGATGGCCAACAGAAGGTTACTTGCAAAGGAACCGAAGGGGATACTTAAAACAGAAGGAACAGTGCTTAATATACGACTAAGTCATATAAAGAAGAGGATTTTTAAGCCAGCATTAATCGACCTTAATTACGGGGATATGGGATTCTAACAGTACCATCAAGGATATCAATTTCCAGAGCCTTCAGCACACACCTAACAAAGCCGCCTGGGGACTCGTACACCTTATGACACCTTCAGAGTAGGCTCTGATGTCATAATATGCCTCAAGAAAGTCTTTAAAGTCAAATCAACAATTCCAACGATAATTTACAGCATGCAAAATTGTACAAGAGACTTACTTTTCTGTACATGACTTGAACACGCCTCACACGGGCACGAAATAAAAGCGTTTAACCCAACAGTCTACGAGACTACCTCACATTTAGACACCTTTCTCAGGAGCAATCACAATCTTGGTTTTATTTTACAAAATGGCCCACTTGCCTAACCAACACAAAAACGGAGATGGGAGAAGTGATAGCAGTTCCTAGACCAGAAGTGGTTGAAATGGCGGCCGAGATTGATGTCAGAGGAACGACGTCGCGCAGAAAATCTTGAACGCTCGCCGATTGGAAGGAGCCGAACCCAATCCCACCAGTAGTGACTATCCACGTGTATAGGAAGTGCAATAGTGACGACTGCATAATCTGCGGAGGTAGAGTTTCCTTGAAAAAAAAAAACGTAACTCTTTGGCTGTGAATAGCACGGGCTATTGAATAAATTGCCCAATTACGCTTTCTGGAGCGTAACTCACTTCAACAGGCGAGGATACCGCGGCCTCACCATGGGACAGATCTAGAGTAAAGGCGAGTGCCAAAGAAGCCGGTGGCGATCGCAGAAGGTTTCGAAGAGTTTTTACGGCTTGGGACGCCTTTAGCAACGCTACTGGTCGTTCGGGGTTGCTGGGATCGCTAGAGAGACTAACGTAGCGCCCGCTCTTATTTTCACACTCCTGGTAGCCCCAACGTGCACCGCTAATGAGGCTGACGAGGGCACATTGACGTAGAGTTAGTGGTAGACCTAGAAAGAACACACGAAACTAGGGCCAAGTTAAAAGGAAATTCTGCTTACGAACATTAATAAAGACAGAGCATAACTTCATTGCAACAGCGAATTAACTAAATATTTAGCTAGGTAAGCCTTTTCAGTCGATAGCACTTGGACCTCGACGCTGGTAACACAGTGTCCTATTTCTGCCCCCTAAGCTACCAATCCCCCAGTCCTTCTAGCAGTTGATAACAGAGTTTTTCCTTTACGGTTATACATCCCTAACTATTTTAAGGATGACTTAATGACTAGTATGACCAAGTACCCATGCTACTGATGGATAAAAAGTAGCATAGACACACAACGCGACTGTAAACACTAGTGGAGCCGCCCTAAGGGGTTATAAAATACATTTTACTTATTGTTAATGGGCAGTTAAATAAACACTGCTGATCGGAACATAAACAGACCTGAGGGGGAAGAGGAGAGTAGCCACATGAGGTCATTACTACCTCCACCTAAGCCGCTGCTGACTGCCTCGGGAGGCGGCCAGACGTGAGCCAAGGCAGC